AAAACCTTGAGAGCTCTGAGGCAATAAGAACAAAAAAGATTAAATATTAACTCACAATAGATAAAATTAGAGCTGCATTATCCCAACATACCACAAAAGAAATTGAAGACAAGTAAGTTCGTTTATTGCCCTTGTAACTTCAAGCAGTTTGCCTTCATTATTGTTCTTTATTAAGCAGATGATAGGGTTTCTAGGGTTCTAGAGGCTGTCAAGGTTACAACTAAGCAACTTCTTCCACTTCAGTCAGAATGGCAAAAAAAAAAAAAAAGAACATGTCACAGAACAACCTCACCTATATTCACTTCTTCCAGAGTCACAATAAGGAAGTAGAATATGACCTTGATGGCTATGAGTAAAAATAGGTCTTAGTTGATAAGGTGAGGTCCATCACAAACCTTACCAGACGTGGAAAAATGGAACGCAACAAGCGTCCCCTCATGAAAGGACACAGGCTGAGCCACAGCTTCCTGTCCATGGATAATAACTGTGTATCCTACAGGTCAGTGCCACGGCAACCAGGATGCCAGCACCCCATCATTTCTGTATGCTCAGCACAAATAAGCAATAGGTAATTTCCTGAATGAGCTAAACTAATACACTCAATTACTTAGAAAAGAAAAAATACTTTAGGAAAAAAATCTATACTTGGGAATAAAATCTATCCCAATTTAAGTCTTGCTCCTCATTATGGTAGAATTACTACTGGTCAAGGGCTAGGGTTGTGGTTTGCCTAGCATATGCAAGGCCCTGGGTTCAATCCTCAGTACCAAATAAATAAATAAATAAATAAATAAATAAATAAATAAAAGTATTGTGTCCAATTACTTATAAAAAATAAATATTTTAAAAAAGAATTACTGGTCAAATTTTAAGTGCACTAAATTTGAAATTCAGTCATTCCACACCTGTCAGAGAAGTCCATTTCCCAGTATACCACCCATCACAGGGCTGATTCATTTGTTTAAACACAAAAAGAACCTTCCTGCAGGAGACTGTATGGTCCCTGCCTTTGAAGCTAAAGTCTGCCCTCCAAGCATGGTTTTTACTTCAGAGCCATCCTCAGTGATGGTAAAGGGGCTTTTCCTTTGCTATGTGCTTCTCTATTAGCTTATTAATTTATACTGGCTCATGCCAAAACAATTTAAAGTGATTTAATGATTTATACATACTAAGTAAGATAAGGAGAACTTCAAGAAGCAAATAAAAGAAAGCAGACAATGATAAAATGATAACACAGGAAAACAGGAAGCAAAGTGTAAGGGCATTCTGAAAAATTCATTTTGGTATTTCCAACTACTCAGGATTTGGGAGATTAAGCTGGGAGGATCCCAAGCCCAGGAATCAGACTAGCCTGGGTGGACAGCGAGACCTTGTCTCCAGGGGCGTGGGAGGAATCATTCTTAAAGAGCCTACATATCTTGTAGAACTGGGTCCAATATTGGGAGCTAAGCTTTCTTTTAACAGTTAACTGAAGGCTAAATTCAGTTACAAGAACCAATATAGATACAGATATAAATGTATAGAGATAGATACACATACACATATATGAAAAACAAAGGAAAAAAGCAGTCTCTCAGGAAAAACAAAATGATTCAGAATAGGGAGAAAAAAGATTTCTTTCAGGGCTCACCATAAAGGGAATACTAAAAAATAAAGATAATAATAGCTTACAATTAGCATTTATGTCCAAGACACTGTCCTAAGAGCTTTAGGCATATTCACTCATTTAATATTCTGATGAAGTAAGTACTATTATCCTCCTTTAGCAAATAAGGAAGGTGTGGTACAGAGTAGTTAAGCAGATTACCCAAAGTGACACAGCTACTAAGTTGTGGATGTGGGCCTCACACATCAAAGACTAGCTCAAGTCCATACTCTTAATCTCTATACTACAGTGCTTCTTAGTGCTCTGAAAGCAAGTAAGCAATGTCCTCAAGATCCTTCCATAGAATCTTTCTTATAATGTGCTTCAGTACAGGCCAAACAAAAACACAAAGCTTAGTTCAAAAGCAGAAATTCAGCTAAGATCAAAATGAGGCAGTCCAGGCATGCAGCTTTCTGCCTGATGGCAGAGGATGGGGATATTTAAGAGTCTCTGGAAGAATGGGTGCCTCAAGTCCTTCAGGCTATCCTTCACACATGGTACATTCCCTCCACCAAGGATTGCACTGAGGGCATGAGGGGAGCTTGTTCTTTCTGAGGGCGGGTAAAATGAGGCTCTTACCCACTGATACTTTAGGCAGAACCACAGGCGAGAGTCACCACCCCACTGCAGGTGGGATAGACACCTTCCCAACCAAGGCAAAGGAACCTGATAAGTACCGACGTCTGCCTGAAGATAAGGTTAGCCTACCCTGGGCATAGAGGTGACCCAAAAGAGTGGCAATGAGCAGGGCTCCCTTAAGAATGAGTTTGGATGTCTCAAAACGAAGGATAATAAGGTTCCCAAATGCCTGTACCATGGAAGAGGTCTCAACAGAGGTAGCCTGAATTATATGGAAAGACTGCATAATAAAATACCAAATCATGATCATCGTAAACCCAGGGAATATTCAACCTTGAACCAGCTCCAGGATAAAAGGGTTGGCAAATATAACCTTAAGGAGTTGGAAGGCCAACCAACTAGAAAAGATTTTTAAAGGTAAGCCAGTTATTATTTGAGAGAAGATATGATTTAAAAAAAAAAAAAAAAAACTGGGTATAGTGGCACATGCCTGTAACCACAGCTGCTTGGGTGATTAAGGTGGGAGAAATCCTAAGTTCAAGGCCAGCCTCAGCAATTTAGAGAAACCCTGTCTTGAAAAAATTTTAACAAAAGAGCTGGGAACTTAGCTTGACAATAGAGCACCCTGCTTTCAAACCCTAGGTCAAACAAACAAACAAAAAAAAAACTTTAGTTTTAGAGTAATTGTAACCAATCTTCTTAGCAGCTTCTCCGAGTTCAAGACCATAAAAATCCAAACTTACTCATTAATTGAGTTCTTAGAACAAGATAGCTCCTAGGAACAGAACTGTGACAAGACAGACAAAAATCCCAGCCACCATGAATCTTGTTCTTCAGTGTACTCTAAGTAACACTAATTACTATAAGTAGACATATGCTATTATTCTGGATGAGGAATATGTCAGGTAGAGATCTATGTTACCAGGACACAGGGAAAAGGCTCCCTGTAGGTGCTGCAGGGTTACACAGTGTGCCTCACTGAGAAAGGGGATCTGAGCAAAGATCTGGAGGAGCTCAGGTAAGGGTCAGGCAATGCCTAGGTGAAGATGCCTCACCAAGAGAGGACAGTAAGGCAGCCTGAGAGGCCAGAGCAAGGTGAAGAATGAGGAGAAGGAAAGTGAAAGAAGCAAATGGGTGGAGAGAAGGAAGCTTGGTGGATGATGCCAAAGACGAACTTAGACCCTGAGGTACCAAAGGATCCTGCTCAGAGAAGTAATGTGGCCTTATATTCCTTTCCAAAGGACCATTCTGCCTGCTTCCTGGAGCATAGGCCCTTGGGAACAAGGACAGAAGCAGGAGACCAGTTAGGATCTTTCCGTCCAGCAGCATCTTGGCACACATACAGGTACAGGTGAGGGTGAAGGACAGAGAGCAGCCAACCCAGTGCAAAGCAGCAGTGTCCGTACTCTGATAAAGCCCATGGCAGGCTACAGTTCTCTCTTGCAATAATGGGGGTGGGGGATGGAGTTTTCCTAAAGTCAGTCTGTCCAAAGAAGCACAAGCCTGTGGCATGGGAGGGGCATCACCATAACTGACCCAAATAGGTCTTCAGCTGTGGTACACTATGGAACACTACAGTGTACACTGTGGGTACATTATGGAACAAAGCACTATAATGAGCTACTCCTCCTAATCAGATACCAGCTATTCTCCACAGTATATTCCAAAATACATCAGAGCTTAAAATATTTAACAGTTAATATAGCACCACTTAAATTCCATACCACAAACCATAACATGACTTCCAAAATGCATCTGGCACCTCAAATTATGCTCTCCTTTCTTCCTTCCAAGTATTTGGAGTGCTGACATCACATAAGCTTCCTCACAAAATGCATCCTCTCTCCCAGATCCTGCAGTCTGTGACAACCAGATCTGATCCTAAGGTACACATGGCACACCAACACCCTGTGCTCAGGCTCCGATGATAGCTTCACAACAGAAAGGGTTTCTGTGTTTCTGCACACTTCGCCCTACCTTACGGTTGCGACCAACACTCACTTACTCACTAAAACACATGTATTTGTCCCCACTCATTTTGACAAAACTGTGATAAGAACAGAAGGAAAAATGGCAAGGCATACAGAGGGAAGAAGAAACCAACTTGTGGCTTCCTCAGGCCTGTAATACTAAGGCCATCGAGGGGCACACCCATCTGTGACTTGACACCTCTTGGAACTAAAGGGAGAATAGAACACAGACCTGTGGTGTCAAACTAAGTTTCCTATTACTCTCATAAATCTTCACGCAGAAAATCACAGTTTGGTTTTTAAAAAAATGAAACTATAATTATTCGTCTCACACCCATTACAGTTTTCTCTCATGCTCCCTTTAAAATTTCCACCTGAACCAAAGAACTGACCACAAGCCATTAGTAAGAAAAACCTAGCCAAGTAAAAGGCTAAGATAAAGAGACTGAGTAATGCACTATCACTGGAAAAGGGTCACATATATAATACCCTGAATACACACTCTGCCAAGTATTATTTCTGGGACTATATCAATAACACGCAAGCTCACAAAGCTACCTCAGAAACTACTCCAAAATAAAATACCTTCCTCATGCTCCTCTCTGTATGGATTTAGCTTTGATCAATACATGACATTCTCAAACATATAGGCATCTCAAAATTTAAATACAAGGTCACTAATTACCCATTTATACAGAGCTACACAGACATAAACATATTAAAATAAATATATTTGCTTTACAAATAAAGACTAGTTTATCCTATCATCATTAAGCTCCTTGTTAATTAAGCAAAACAGCATTTACCAGACAGGAAGAAATCAATAGTTCTGAATCTTCTTTTGTCCAATTGTATGCTGTATAATCAAGGGCATTATTCTCTCCTTGCTGTTTGCACATATAAGCACAGTTTCTTTCAAAAACGGTGCGGATGCCTTTGAACAGAATCACACTAGTAGTGCAACCCATCCCCAAGGTGTGGATGCTCAGATTTCTAGCAATCTCTACTCCATTTCCACATCATCTTCCTTGGCTCTTCAGACACGGTCTCCCACTGTACCATCTTCATGACAAGCAGTTACCGGCACCGGAACAGAAGGGAAGCTCCAAGCTGTCACACTAGAATCTGCTCCTGCCCAACAGCCTGACAAAAAAAATCCAGACTCCGGGTATCAAACAGGAGGGGTGGGTGGTGCAAAAATAAGAATGACACACCTCAGACGCACCAAGACCTTGAATGTATCATTTTCCAGTGGACTGCTCCACTGTTAATACGAAGAACAAATATGTAAAAGGTTTACATGGAATTATTGAAAAACTGCCGGCTCCTGTGATTTGCTTGGGATTGTTCTGAATCTCAGAACCTGCCCAAAATGAAAAAGACAGTGCCAGACAGCCACACTGCTGCAGATGCTGCTGGAAGGCACAAAGCATGTTCATCTGCTGCAAGAAATCACTCTCCCAGAATGCTTAGCCTAGCATCTATATTAGCAAACATCTCTTTCCTTGACCTAAATGTGCTGTTTGTTTAATCCTACATCAGCAAGGAAAAGAGAGCAAAAGAGAAAAAAGTCCAAAACGAGTGAAATTGCTAAGATGACTGCTGCTATGGAAACACACGTAAGTGCACTTCAAACAACCTTTTGCATGTATGGGTAACAGCCTGCTGACAGCAAACTGCAAGGGAACACAACATTGCCGGGGGGATCTTGATTTCTACCTACCTTCACTCTTTGCTAAAAAGGAGTAGCAAGTTTACACTGCTTAAAGTAGTCTGCCATCTCTGATACCAAAAGATGTAAATGAGAACATGGATAAAGGAATACCCCCATCTGGCTGCACAGGTGCCTCTGAAGCAGTGCTCCAGAATGCAATGGCAAAAACATGCTGAAGTCTCAAAGTCAGCATGGCTATTATTTTTGGTGCCTAATCAGTTCCTTCCATTGCAAACTGAACCTAGTAACACTACACTATCTCATGTGAATCCTTGGGAGTGTCTCATAGGAAAGTTTGTCATTAATACATCACATTGCCTGTTGCTATTTTCCTTCCTAAAAAATAAAAAGCCAACTATATAAAAACAGCATGATGCACACACAGGGAAACCCTGTCACTCACAACATGAATCTAGGAAAAAAAGGCATCATTCTTTTTTAAGATCTGCTCTGATATTATTTCTTATTTCACAAGGCAATAGTTTTCATTTTCTACCTATAGATTTCCAAGTGAAAGTGAACCTGAACAACTGAGAACTGAGGAAGGTAAGAGAAACTCAGGCCATGTAGTAAAAGCAGAACATTAAATCACATGATTTCAAAATGTATATTTTGCATAGTTAGTTTAGCCACAAGGAAAAGCAAATCTAGGCTTATTATCACTCCTGCATTCTTATGCAAAGTGTATCTAACAGCCACACAAGATCAAAGAGTGGAGATACTGGCCACATGAACAAAACAATAACTCTATAGGGCCTAGAACATTCCAATTCCAAGTGGTGATTCTATTAAATGAAAACTGAAAGACTCAAGATTACTCCCTCATCTGTTACCAGGAAATACAAATCTTCACAAGATATTGCAATACAGGCAGATAAACAATGGAAATTCATTGATACAGAAACAAAACTAGAGGCTATAAAACACTAAACACATGGGTTAAATTGTCTCTCTTGAGAACTCAGAAATATCCATGAATTAACCTCACTTCCATACTTCAAGGAACACCTTAAATGGCAAGTTTGTTCAGTATAAAGATGATACCTAGAAATTAAAAGTAATTTAATATTGTTACCTATTTCACACATCCTGGGTATAGAAGCTAAAGAATATTATTTGAGAACTAAAAGACAACATTTGAACTTTACAAAGGATTATAAATGATAAGCAAGCAAATTTGAAACTGGTGGTAAATTCTATTTGATTTATTTTTAAAACTCTAAATTAGTATTTAATGGTCTTAAGTGTCCTCACCACTAAAAATAAAAGGTTAAGTGATACATGTGTTAACTAACTTGACTCTGGTAATTATTTTGACAGATGAAATCATCATAATGTATACTTTAAAGTTACACAATTTGGGGACTGGGGTTATGGCTCAAGTGGTAGAGCATTCGCCTCGCATGTGCAAGGCCCTGGGTTCGATCCTCAGCACCACATATAAATAAATAAAATAAAGTTATTGTGTCCAACTACAACTACAAAAAAATAAATATTTTAAAAAATTAAAATAAAGTTACACAATTTTATTTATCAGACCTCACTTAAGCAATTTGTATGGATTTTAAATATTTATCTTTTTTTCAAGCAAAAAATTAGTGGGCAAGATAAAACAAACAGAGTATATTTACAGCAAAGGAGTCAAAAGGTCAAAAAGTGGGTTTCAAGCTAATAGACGCAAGTCGAAACAAACAATTCAAGAGGTGTGTTATCTTTATTTGGTTTCACTGATTTTTCTGCATCAGAATGATTCTGGGTTGCTGAAATGATAATTACTATGAATTTCATCAAAGAACATGAAGACATAGATGGTATCTATTGGCAACAAATGCAGCCACCTGAAGAGTACATGTTTTAATTTGGAGCTCACATTTACTCTTATATATTTAAATATCACATCTAATTTACAGAGCTCCCAAGACTGGATGTCTGTCTTTCACTCCCTTTTGAGATCCAAACACCCTCTTCCCACTAATAATGACATTTGACTCTCCCATCATCACATCAGCTGCAAATCAATCACCTTTCAACAAGACAAAATCAAATGGCATATCCATACAGCGGAGTATCATTCAGTCATAAAAGAAACAAAGCACCAGTATTCCTTTAATCCCAGCACATTGGGAAGCTGAGACAGGAGGATCACAAATTCAAAGTCAGCCTCAGCAAAATCAAAGCGCTAAAGCAACTCAGCGAGATCCTGTGTCTAAATAAAATTCAAAATAGGGCTGGGGATGTGGCTCAGTGGTGAAGTGCCCCTGAGTTCAATCCCCGGTGCCAAAAAAAAAGGAACAAAGTACCAATGCATGCTATAACACAAATACATTTGAAAAACATCAAGGTAAGTGAAAGTACCAGTCACAAACTCAATTGTATGATTGCATTCAAATGAAATGTCCAGAATATGCAAATCATACAGAAAGAAAATGGATTAGTGCTTACCTAGGAAATGGGAGAGAGAATATGGGGATGACTGCTAATGGGGAATGTTGCTTTAGATAATTAAAATGTTCAGAAACCTGTGTTTCAAATATATAGAATTTGTATTGATTTTAAATATTAATCAATTTGTATTGATTTAAATATTAACCTGTGGCAATATATGTACACTTTTTTTTTTTTTTTTTTTTTTTGGTACCAGTGATTGAACCAGGGGCACTTAACCACTGAGCCACATCCCAGCCCTTTTTTTGTATGTTATTTAGAGACAGGGTCTCACTGAGTTGCTTAGCACCTCACTAAATTGCTGAGGCTGGCTTTGAACTGACGATCATTCTGCCTCAGCCTCCTGAGCCACTGGGATTACAGGTACATGCCACCGCACCCGGCTATATACACTATCTATGCAAAACATACGGTCTATAACTATACTAACAAAACTACTGAATTGAACACCTTAATAGAGTGACTTACATGAAAGGTGAATGTGATAAAGGCCTTGATTCCATTTTTGATGTTTGATGCAGGTAGCTTTGAAGCCTTACCCCTTCTGTGGCACATCTGGACATGTGGATAAGAAAATCCAGGTGCTGCCTCCTTTTGGCACCAGAAGGAAATTCAAAACACTCAGGGGAACCCTCACCCCCAATACCACCCTACAGATGATTACAAAAACCCCAAGCCAGTCTCTTTTCCATGTCCACCCAAGCCACTCATTCCAGGGACCTACTTGGGACCTGCACTGTTGTCCCCAGAAACCATTTCATGGGAGTATATATGATGTCATTAGGCTCAACATCCAAAAAAAAATTTGGTGGTAGAAAACATAGTACCCACCCTGTCTGCAGAATGGTCTCAACAGTGTATTATATTAACTATTACACTTAGGGAAGGAAGAGGAATGACACCTTCTCTCCTGACCCCATAGGTTACCAGGTTCAGATCAGATAATAGGTAGAATACAACTGAGACATAGCAAGTACCTACTGTTTTATGCTTCGCAAGGATTTTCTGTAAAACTTAAAACAACTACCTTGCTTGAAGAATTTAACAATTCCTGGATGTTGCTTTGTCCCCAGTTCTCAGGAATACACTAAGATGGCTGGGGCTGCCCTCAGGGTATGTATTACAGACCTGGGTGAGGGGCTATATGTTATATAAACCACCAGAAAGCCTGTATGGTTAAGATCTACTGGCCTCCCCAGGGGTCACAACAAACTTAGCCATGCAGCCACAGACCACAGTAAACAGGTCCCAAGCTCTGAGCCCTCTCAAAATGGAACCATTTGGAGCTTCTGCTCCCATCTGCAGCTCTCTCCTTGCCAACTGTCACTCTGTTTTAAATGTCTTCTAAAAGTCAAATTAATTTGATTGGTGGATTTACTTACTACTTCCCCAAAAATATATGGATAAAGAGAAATGCAAAATAACACCTAGAAAAGCTAGAACTACAAACTGAAATTAACACTATATTTCACACAGAGATGTCTTCTAGGTCAGACCTTGGTTCTACCTTGAAGACTGGGAGGAAAGTGACACTTTCTCCATTCTGCAGTGGCTGAAATGAAGATCTCACATACTGATAACATATCATACATGATAAAGCCACATATCACAAAACCCTAACTAAATGGAGTATGGGTAGAACTCAACATGTCATTCATTCTACTTAAATGTCATTCTGATAGCCAGTCCACAGGAAGAGCTTGTTTTCATCCTTGACAGTCCATATTTCTTTTCTTTTTTTTTTTTAAAGAGAGAGAGAGAGAATTTTTTAATATTTATTTATCTTTTTTTAGCTTTTGGCGGACACAACATCTTTGTTTGTATGTGGTGCTGAGAATCGAACCCGGGCCGCACGAATGCCAGGCGAGCACGCTACCACTTGAGCCACATCCCAAGCCCAACAGTCCATATTTCTTACAGCAATGCAGTGATGAGCAAAGAAATCTTAGGTAAGTTGGCTTCTCACGGCCTTATTCATTTGACACTCAAACAATACCATCAAATATAAATAGAGTGCATGGCACATGACCTTGTATATATCACATGCTAAAGAAGTGTTTTATCTTCCCTTTCTGTCCCAAGTTAATTTTCTTTCCTCAGTGCTGGGGATTGAACCCAGGTCCTAATGCCTAAGAAGCAAGGGTTCTATTGCTGAGATATACGTCTAACCCCCAGAGATAAAGTGTTTTGGTTTTGTTT